CAGAATGGCTCCAAGAGAGCAACTTCTATACCTCTTGGCTTCATGTTTTCCACTGACATGAAATGGACCAACTATATTGAAACATCTGCTGCAAGGAAGGTTTGTCATGCCAAAACATTTTTCTTGTTAGAATCCATCTTTCACATTTAGAAATATTTCATTTATGTTTTGAATTCAGCTGCCATATCTGGTCTGGTGCTCCTGCTGTGCATCTCAAGTTTCTTGACAAAATCCAGAGAAAAGTCTGCAATGCAATTGATCCTGATCAGACATCTTATCTCCAGTCACTTTCTTAATGACGTCATGTGGCTTCCCTCTGTTCTACAAATATTTTCATGGTAACTGCTTAAATGGGCTTTTTTCCCTGGTGATGTTACTAGATTGGCAACTAGGTCTCACTCTTTTACTGTTGAACTAGCTTGATATAATTGCAACTTCTACTCTAACAGTTTTTTATGCATTTCCCACCTTTGGAACTCCTTTCTGATTTCTAGCTTCCATGATAACACCAATCTTCTTCAACCCTGTTCCTTTTTTTGCCCTTTCCTCAATCATCCTTATTTTCAATCTTCTCTTTCACATTCTCTTTCACTCCCTGTAACCCCCTGCGTTCTAGAGGCATTGTCGCCTTGCTTGGGGTGAAACAATTAGAAAAAAAACAAAAAAACTCCAGTTTTGGCCAATTAATATCGGTGTGTTGGTGTGTGGCTGTGACGGTTTTCTCTGAATGTGGCTTCTTCTTGCAAGGATGTATCTTTTCTCTTTCAGTAGGTATAGGGTGCTTCATGTCATCTGATTGTCCCACATGTGCAAATTCTAAGCTCAGCGGGGTTGACCCACTGTATACATGTTGGGGTTAGCTACTGACATCCTGCATGTGGTGTGAATATGCATCTGATGGCTATAAAGGCACCTTTCAGGCCCACATACCTTACTGATAAGTTTCTTTATTGACATTGAATTTAATTCAGATCATATAGTATTTTCTGGCATGAATCACATATTATAGAAAATAAATTTAATCTGTATACCATTTATAGAAGATAATGAAGAAAGGCTAAACTTTTTAACTAAATGTTTGCCCAATAAAAGACCCAAGAGCCACTCAGGCTAGAGGGTTGATGAATGAGGTTTTTGGATGGATGTAAAAGGAGTAAGTAAGAGCAGATTATGAGGATGTGCAGATTATGAGGATATGTAGAATAAAAGATAATGGTTGTCCCTAGACTTAAAAAGGTTATGAATATAGTAATCAGGGAAGCATCCTCCCATGAGTCTGTTCAATGAAAATCTGTTTGAGTGAAACTTACTAATGGAATACAAAACAAATGAGGATGACGTGGTGAAGTCTTTGTGTAGAACCAACCACACTTTTTGAAGATCTGAATACAGAGAACTGGTGCACTATGTGCCACAAGGTCCCCAAATGACCCTCCACATGTTTTGAATTCAGAGTTGTCTTTCTCTTCCAGTTACCATCCAAGGCTATAGAACCCAGTCTGTCCTGTTATTTACCCATAGCTGGAGGGAGAAGAGGAGGATTAATATCTTTACCAAGGGTATTAGCACGTAAGAAAATGTAATGGATTTGACTGGAATTCGAACTCAGCTCTCCGATTCCTAAATCCGAGCTGCTATCCACTACTCCACTGTGCCTCCTTTAATCACTATCCACTACTCCACCATTCCTCCTCTTAGTCAAGTATATACAAGCAATATTTGCCTTTAGACTTAAGTTTAATAAAACATGATTTCAACATGAAATAACTGAGCAAAGATTGATAGGTCATAAAATTTACAGACCTAAATACCCCTCACCCTACCAAAAAAAGTTTTTTCTACAGATATTGTCTATACACCAAAACTCATGTTTGGCATCAAACATGACTCAACACAACTCATACTTCAAAATTTACATTTACAAGGCCTAACAGAGTATAGAGGTAGTTATTTTCAGCTGTCCATTGCTCACCTCATGATAAACACTCATGTTTCAGTGCTCCACATCAGATTTGCCATTGCTGCTCATGGATATGTGATTTAATTTTAGACTTTAAAGACTGAAAATGTTAAAAAAAAAAGCTGCAGATTTCATTATGAGTGACAATAAAATTAATTGCTGACTCTATATACAATACATATACTACGATTCGAATATCTATAATTTGTAGTTTCCCTTTTGATGACAACCGTATGTAGCATTGCAGCTCAGACCAGACACCATGTTAATTCTCAGAATGCAGCTTCTTATTGTCAAATGCTTTGTGGCTTAAAAATAACCTTCAGTCAATCTGCTTCTTGCTACAAATTATCATGATTTTAGTTCATAAACTAAAATCATGATAATTTGTAGCAAGAAAGCAGATTTTATTCTCAGGTTGTAACCTACTGCTATAAATAAGCAAACCGAAATTGAAACCCAGGTGTGGAGAGGAACAGTTTAATGGGGATCTTCCCGTTCCTGAAGATGCAAGGTGATCTTCTTGTCACTCTGCCCTTTTTGTGAATAGTGATTACTGTCTTATAGAGAACATTGTTATTTGTCTTACCATCTTTGTCTAAAAACGTAATTTATCTTCATTCAGTGTCTTTCTTTGTTGGATTATAGTCCTTCTGAGGACCACTCCACTTAGCTGATATGCAAATAAATGTGAGAAATTATTTTTGTGACAGGTCAGCTGTTTACCATTTAACAAGATATCAGTGTCAGCTGATATCTATATACATACATTGTCTTCTTACAATTGATGTTAAGTCCTTTCTTCACACTTTACTTCACCACCTTCTCCAGAAGTTCTTGTAGTTTCCCTTCTATGTCTGCTATCAACACTGTGTCATCTGTATATCTAATATTGTTAAGATTGAGGCTGCCAATAATGAATCCTCATAGGATTGCTAATTCTCACAGAATCACTTCATTGTATAGGCTAAAAAGTCTGGTGAGAAGAGGTATCCTTGTCTTACACCCCTTTCTATTTTTGTATATTTACTGAATTACTTTTCTATCCCTGTATAAGTTCTGGATTATTCTAATCTCCTTCCCAAATAAATGAAACTTAATCAAACAGGTCTAGCAGTTCTCTTTGTGATGTACCTTGTCAAATGCATTTGCATAATCCATAAAGGTATATCCTTTTGTATTTGTATTGCACTTTGTGATGTAATTCTGACCATAAATGTTGCATTCCTTATTCCAGTGTTGTACTGTTCTTGTACTATTTCCAGTCTAATTCTGTTGTGTGTTGTACTTGTCAGAATTCAGATCATTAAGCTGACTGTCTGATGGAGTTCACATTCATTTTGTACTTGTTAGAAACAAAGAAAAGAGTACTGAACTGTTATGGCAGTGAAGAAGAGGCACAAGGCAACAGAAATATGGTTCTACAGAAGAATGCTGAGAATAACATGGAGTGAACATGTGAACAACAATGAAGCAAATGGAAACAAAAAGGACACTTATACTTAGAATCTGAAAGAGACAACTGAAGATTCTTGGGCATATAACAAGGATTGGAAAAATGGTGGATAGAATAGGATGTAGAGAACAAAAAGATAAAATTTGCTTGGAGAACCATGATTGCCCACATCCTGGAGGTGCTCAGCTCATAGAAGAGATACTGCTATTCCAAGTTTTACAAAATTCTGAAAAAAAGTCTGGTGTCAAGGTTTTTGAAAGTTATTACCCATTATGACTACTGGCCATGTTTAGAGATTTAGTGGGTACATGTATTTGAGTAGATATCACAATTTTGTAAATAGTATAAATTTAGATCTACCAGCCTTGCGTATTCAAGAGTCTTAATAAAGAAAATGTGCCTTCTGGTAGGAATCGAACTAATAGGAGACAATCATCAGGCAATTCCTGCCAGACAAAGTTATCTTGGTAGAAATAATTGTTGCAGGAAGGTCAGTATTTTGAAGATTTTATATCTTAATTTGCTCTACATTTTCATTTTATGAAAATTGTATTGAGCAATCTTTTAATTCAATGTTTCTTTTGGTGAATACCATTTTTCGCCAAAGATTGAATTTATATATATATATATAAGAGAACATTGAAGTCAACATTTAGAGGCGATAGACTGTTTCATGCTTAATGCAAATTGTCATGCCTGACAATTGCGTCTAGCATGAAACAGTCTATCACCGCTAAGTGTTGACTTCAATGTTCACTTTTATATTTACACACGTGCTATCTGTGATATTGAGCACTTTATCCCATAAATATAGCACATCTTAAGGGTATATTTTTTCATATATATATTGAAGGATTAATTTATGCATATACATATATATATTGAAGAATGAATTTATTCATATATATATATATATATATATATATATATATATATATATATTGAAGAATGCATTTATGCATATATATATAAATTGAAGAATGCATTTATGCATATATATATAAATTGAAGAATGAATTTATGCATATATATATATATATATTGTAGAATGAATTTATATATATATATATATATATATATATATGAATTAATGAAGAATGATATATATATATATATATATATATATATATATATATATAATGAAGAATGAATTTATATATATATATATATATATATATATATAAAATGAAAATGAATTTATATATATATATATATATATATATAAAATGAAGAATGAATTTATATATATATATATATATATAATGAAGAATGAATTTATATATATATATATATATATATATATATATATAATGAAGAATGAATTTATATATATATATATATATATATAATGAAGAATGAATTTATATATATATATATATATATATATATAATGAAGAATGAATTTATATATATATATATATATATATATATATATATATATATGAAGAATATATATATATATATATATATATATATACATTCACACACTGTGGAAAATACAGGCATTTGAATTAATGGATTAGGAAGACTACTTGTAAAATGATTGATGTTGATGATGATGTAAATGGTAGGAAAGTGTCTTACCTCAAAAGTTATGCTCTTCACTTGAAGTGAAGAAGCAATTAGGCTTACATTGACCACGTTTGGCACAAACAAACCTGGATTGCCTGGTAAAAGAAAAGAAAAATAAAGTTTTTCAAACAATGAACTTAGTTGAAAAATGTCCACATCTTTCAGCAATTTCAAATAAAAGAAACATTACTTTTGAATACTTTAAAAAGAACCATTTCAAAAGAATGTTTAATTTTTCTTTATTTTTTTTAATTGTATTTCTGCCTTCAGTTATATGAAAGCATAAGAATTTGCTACTATTCAGGCTTACAAGTTTTCCTGAGGTTGTTACTTCATTTCTTGGTATTTTATTCAAAATATCATATTTGCTAACACCTGATGTCTCCGATTCAGTCACTTTCCCACTGCCATAATGTAGCTTCCATATACCTTTTTCTAAATATTTTCATGGTAATTGTTTGAATGAATTCTTTGCTATCATACCTGAACTTTATGAATTTCAGTGCAGTATGTGATTGGCAACAAATTATAATCAATTCACAGTCAAATTGGCTAGATGTAACCGCCAGTTTTATGCTAACAGTTTCTTTTCTTTGCACTTCTTGCTTGTTGAACTCTTTTCTCATTCCATGCTTTTTCCAGCCAAGTTTGATCTTCAAATATTTAAATGCAACATAAGTCATTATCTACTGTCTTCTTGATTACACTTTTATTGTTCTCAGTCCTTTATAATATTTCACTTTTTTCCTTATTTTTTCACACTCAGTAACCCCTTGTGTTTTAATGGCTTTACTGCCTTGCATGGGGTGATATTAAAAACAAAAATGTTTATGTCTGATTCACACTCCTCGCCAGTTTTTGAACAGGAGTAGAGGTTTATCCCTTATTTCCTGTTTACAATTGGGTTTATGGTTCCCTCTAAAATCTTTTCATTCTCTTTCATTTATGGTGACCCCTTGCATTTTGGTGGCATTATCACCTTGCTTCATGTGGTATCTCTGTAACTATCTACCTTGAGTGGCTCTTGGGCCTTGTACAAGGTGAACATCATTGTAAAAAAAAAAATTCTGAATTTGGTTCACTTTGCTTAGTTTCTCACTATTTGCTCTTCTTGCCCTTATTATCAGCAACACAAAGTAATATTTTCAAAATTGCTTGTTGTACTGGAGAGCAGACATGGCTATCATATATTTATTTTCTTCACTGACTAGAATGACGTCCACAACTGTTAGTGACACTGCCATTCTTGCCTAACTGTTCTGTGTCAGCGCATTTTCATCTTCAATAAGATTATGTTTTTTTTTAATCATTTCACCCCAAACAAGGCGGGTATGGAAGCAAGCAGGGGGTTCCAGAAAGTGAAAATGAGAGAAAAGACTGGGTATAGTGGGGTTTGAGGAAAGGATAAAAGATAAATGGGCTTCAAGACCAACAGAAGATGGTGACCGATGTTGCATATTATGGCAGGATTGCTTCATTATATCATTCAAACTTAGTTTCATTCTGTTATGTTATCATCTGAATTGACCAGATTGCATGACATCACTTCCCAAGGTTATTGTCAACAAATCATAAAACATGGGTAAACACAGAATAGTTCAGCTGCACAGAAGTGGGTGCTTGTCATCAAAAAGCAATGGGTAAGTGGCTACAGCAGTGGTGATATAATTGTATCCCAACTTCTACCAAAAGTCTCCATAAACTAGCAGGACATTATTCACCATAGGCTTGCCACTTGGAAATTTCCCATCAGGAAATTAACAGAGTCTTTGTCATATTTATCAAGTTGTGTGCGTGTGTGCGTATGTGTATACAGGATTGAAAGAATGAGAATGATCTTGTCAGTATATGGGTAGGAAATCTCCAAGAGGCAAACTTGCAAAGGATAGTACCATAATAATAAATATGTTAGAGTCAATTTTTATAAGAAAGACATATGGTGGCAATTCATGTCAAGACAAAAGAAATTTTATCTGAAAAGATATCACACATTACAAATGATATGAGCCGTCTCATAGTGGGGATAATGATTAGCAAGGCTAGTTTTGTTGACCTTTACTACAGAGTAATGAGTTCAATCCTCACAGTTTCAAAGAAAAATTTTAAATCAATTCGCCCCAAGCAACACAATAAAGCCACTAAGATGCAAAGGGTGTTAGAGAGTATAAGAAAAAAAGAGAAAAAAATAGTATTAAGAAGAGAGAACAATAAAAGAATAGAAACTAAGACAGAAGATACTGATTGGTATTTAATGTATCAGTAGACATTTTTGCTTGTAGCATTTGTTTACTTACTGTGTACATAAAATGTGCATAATTCTAAAAAAAAAAAAAGAAGTTAAAACCTCACCCATGTTAAAGGGTGTAAAGGAGTAAAAAAAAGCTCAAGGCACCAAACATGTCTTTCATCCTCATCCCTTTCCCACTTTTCTTCCATCTACATTTCTTTTCATTTTTCTCCAGCTTTCTCTCTACTTTTCCTCCTTCAAACCTTGTTTCCACCTTTCCTCCCCTCCATTGCTTTTCCCAATTCTTTTGCTATGTAGAAATGAGCAGATCAAGAAGTAATGGCTAAATAAACATATTGTGTGTCTGTGTAAGATTTTTCACAGAGTGCACAGATACTACAATGAGCCCAGACTAGAAGTACAAGGAAGTTATGTTCTGATTTTAGGCAGAAAACAATAAGAATCATATTGCCAAGCAGGAAAACCAATCCATTCATAAATAATCCTGTAATTTTATTTTTATGCTAATTGAGTTCATAATAATATTTAGATTCAATTCTGTTCAAAAATTCTGGTTAATTTTGTCTGAAATATTGTCCAACGGTATCTTCTTTTATTTTCTTTCATTATGTGGGTGGTTATGGCTCTCCACACTTTCTGTCTCTTGTTGCTCTGAGTAACTTTTGTACTTTTACGATCCTTATTTGTCCTTTGTGTACCATTTATTCACATAACATAGTTAAATAGGGTGCTTGCTATTTCTCTTGCTTTTAGTATATCCTGTGAGTATTAAATTTCCCAGGTCTTCTTTCTTCATTATGGTTATTTGAAGTGATTAAAAATTAGAAATGAATTGCAAAAACTCCCAAATATTAAAATAATCATGGGGAAAATGAGAAAAGAAATGAAGAATTAAAGTTAAATTAAACATATGAAGTTGATGAGGGAATCAAAGAGAGTTAAACCCAAAACAAATTTGGTGGCAAATCATTAAGGAAACCATCAATGATTCTGATGTGCTTTAGACCTCTCAGCCACAGAGTATGCTGATAGTCAAGTTGAATAGCACCTTTAGGCATAAATTTTTTCCATGACACTTGAAACTGACACATCAGCTTATATCTGTCTATATCTCTGAGATGTGGTATTATGATTACTTGTATTATTTACATTATTTGGACTGTTATCCTCATCTTCATTGCAATATTCACAATGTTTCGGCCATTGTACACTCCAGCCTTCATCAGGTGACTGCAATTTCAAACCAAACCCTATATTTTGTCAACCAGGATAGATTGTTCTAGTTCCACATGCCATGACTCTTCTGTGTGTTGCAGTTATTTCCCTTTAACTCAATTCTCCAAGTTTTTTGGTTCACCACTGTTGTAGCCTGTTATTGATCTCGCAACTCTTTGGGTCTAGTCACTGGATCTAACCAATGCCTTTATCCACTGAGCTATGTGTCCTTGAGGACAAAATAAAAGGTTTGGTTCAAAATTCCAATCATCTGAAGAAGGCCGGAGAGTATATACTTCTTAGCCCTGTCTAACGACATGGAGCACTGTTTGTTTACACCTTATATTAAATTAAGTAAATATTTATTTGCTTACCTGTGTATGCATGCTAACGCAGGTATACACAGTTGCTAATATCTAATCATTTGGTTTATAACCACACACACATATATACCGGGCGTAACAGCAAAATTGTCCAATTGTTAGATTAAGCTTTGAACTGTTGTATGAACTGTTAAAATGATTAAGATATTTTACTGGAATTCTCTGAAGTTCTTATAACACTGTTGGAATCTACTTGAACAATAAGAATGTATTTAGCTCTAAGTTGAAATGATAATCTCTCTTCTTATTGTAACGTCCTGATCCAGTTTTTCTCTCTATTGTTCCCTCTTTTTAAAAATTATTCACCATTTTCTTGAGGATTCTTGAATGGACTTTGAAGATGGAAGCCAGAGTATGAATGTTGGTACCATTATTGAAGGCCTGAATAATCAGTGGGGCTGATACAAAATGATTTTAACCTGTTCTCTTTCTAGCTGAATAACTCAAAGTATTTTTCAGTGATTCTCATGACAAATGGTGTCAAGATGTCTTATCTTGAAAACCTGTAAAAAAGAAACTCAATTAGTATAGTGGTTTTTAGTTACTAAACATTTTGTGGGATGGACAATTATCCCATGCTGTTACACGATTTAGACAATTTTGCTGTTACACCCGGTGTATATATATATATATATATATATATATATATATATATATATATATATATATATTATTATAAACAGATCATTTACTTAAAATACTTGTATCTATAAAAAGAATGTTAAACATAAAAATGTCTTTAAATAATTGTCGGACTTTGTCCATTTCATAATGTGTGACGTCATTTGTTTACATTTGATACGCCATGAGCAGTTATGAATGTACGTGAGAGATTCATGGAAAATTGAAGTTTATAAGCAGTAAATTCGACCTTGCCAACCGAATGATCCTTTGTGGCTGAGTGGTATGGCATGTCAGGCTATATGACGGTTCCGTATAGGATACAGGTTCGAATCCTGTTGAAAGACGAATATTTTCTATGAAACTTTCTCGCACATTCAGGCTGTTAAATGTTATTTAATACTGTTTATTATAAAAAGAGTATTTACTTAAAACATTTGTATCTATAAAAAGAATGTTAAACATAAAAATGTCTTTAAATAAATATATATATATATATATATTTACAAAATCATCAGGGGGAATATATATTTGAATGGTTGCAAGATATTTATTCACTACACTTCTGATGCTTACATTAACTTCAAATTTACAGAAGTGATGTATTTTGATATAAATTAAATAATTT